CTTTCCATCATTCTTACCAAACAGAGCATAAATCGGGGTAGAGCAACTCTTTTGTGGTGTGGGTGTGGTTCCTCCCATTGACTTCTCTGGAAGGCGTGAATAGGTAGTAGAAAGGAAAAAACTTTATTTTGTTGATTGTATGGCTTTCACTCATTTTTTAGTGAGTTAATTGCTCTTATAGGCCAATAATGCAAGAACATATGAATTTGGTAAAATATATTAACCTAAAGGCGTTTTTGCTCTTCTAAAAAAAAATTAATTTCTCAACGGCTATGATGATGAATTCAACCAAGTTTTGCAACAACCCATTTTTCGGCTTCGTAATACCGTATGTTATGTAATATTTTAATATATGACTAAGATGAAATATATCGATTGAAAAATATTTATATTTTTTTATTCATATTTTATTAATGTTGAAATGAAATAAGTGTAGGAAGTTGGATCAGTAGATTCTACTAACATCGATCAAGCATTCAATACATAGTATTTTGACATATAATTTGAAATAAAATATTTGGTAAATAAATTTAAGAAGCACAATTTTATCCAATAAATTGCTTTAAATGAAAATATCATCAATTTAATTTTTATCAATAAAGGTTTGGTAAATTTTTTAATATCAATTAATTTTTCTTTTCATTCATGTTTTGCCCCTTCTAAGATAATATATTGGCTCCGCCCCCCTGACGTATATTACGTATCTCTAATGACTTTAACAGACAGAGATTTAGCCTTGATTCTAATATCTTTTAATTTATTTTGCAAAATTCATTGCTTTTCTTGAATAATTCATCAGTCTCATGAATTTTTTTTTGCCAGACCAGAGCTGAATCCTTCCATCATCATGATTAGTTTACAAGTAGGAAGAAAATTATCTTCTCTTTTGGGTTTTAGCCCTTTTTTTTTTTTTGTGGAAAAACAAACTTTGGATTCTTGTATTACAAATGGGATTTGAATCTCCCCCAATACATTTTTTCACAATTGTTTTCAACAACAAATCACCCGCCATGAATTTGAACATGGACTGAATCCTCATAAACGTGTATTGCACATAATTTAAAGAATTACATAGTTTTTTACGGTAAAAGTGACATTCTGTTGGTACATTTCTTTTCCTCTAATTTTTTTAATAATAGATTAACCATCATTAATTTTGGTGTGTTTTCCACTATTAAATTTCGTAAAATTTATCACTGATAAAAATTGAGAAAAACATGTTGGAGGAAATATAGGTCATTAATTATTTCCTCAACTTTTGGGTAAAAAAATGTTTATTTATTTGGTCATAACTTATGGACAATGTTAGAGGCTAATTTTCCCAACATTAATTGTGGAAAATGTCCCCTCACTATTACGAGGATTGACCCAAATTTTGTTGACTTTTTATTTTTTTGTGCTAGGCTGACTTGAACGTTACTCGTTTTGAACATTGCGTCCAGAAGCAATGTTTTGAACATTTAAGTCAACATGGTGTGGTGTGAGTGGGACCTGATGCTCCGATTGGTAGAGAAGATGAAAAGTAGAAAATATATATTTTTTATCTTTCAAGGATAGAAAGTAGGAAGGATATATTTTATTTCCTTTCTATTTGATTGGATGGATAAAAAATAAAAATGACAATTTTTTTTTTGGTACTAGCTAATATTATGGGTAACAATCAAGTCGTATCGTGGCAGACTCATGTTGAGTCGTTATGAGTTTGTGTCAAATATTAGTCAAACGTAACTTAACTTATTTAACTAATTGTGTCGCGTCGAGTTACAAGTTAACCTTTTTATTTTCGTATCGAGTTCGAGTCGTATCATCGTATTGAGTGAAAATTTTTTATCCTTAGTTAAGATGAAATTTTTTAATTTTATTTAATTTTTAATTTTAATTTTAAATTTATTTAATATATATATATATATATATATATATATATATATATATATATATATATTATCATTATATTTTAATATGAAATTAATGTATACATAATGTATATATATATAAAAAGATATATAAACAAATAAGATACATTTCAACACAAATAATTAACTTTTCATTAACTTTCCTTTCGATTTTGGAGGAATTGATTTTGGTGAATTGAAAAGAGAGTTAATTCATTCACTTTTTCATCCTTTCTACTTTTTTTTTTTACCAAACATGATGTTTTATTTATTCCTCTAACTTTTCATCATCTCACTTTTTCATCGTACCAAACGGAGCATGAGAGTGACAAATAATGACACAAAAAAAAATGGTGGAGTAAAAAGGAGTAGCCAATCAAAAGAAAAAGAAGCCTCTTTGTGCCAAGCTTTACCCTTTATACTTTGTGGACTTCCAATGGAATATGAAATGGGAACATAAAATTAGGAGTAAAATGGAATATGAAATGGAATACTATGCTTAGGCACATGTACTTTAATTGTTTTTATACTACAAAAGACAAGTTGTCTTCTTTTTCGTGTGCGTGCCGACTATTATTTCGAGTTCTGAGCTTGTCACCGTAATTCTAGTTAGTTTAAAAACATGTTCTTTGACAAATGAGGGTGATTGGCCTTTAGGAGATGTAGGACTGGACCACCCTTAAAGGTTAGAAAAGTTGTCTTCGCTTTTTAGGTAGAGTTTTTCAAATTTTCAGGTAAAACATACTATCTTTTGAGGTTTTTGTTAGTCTTTGATATAATACCGAAAAATATAATTTTTTATATCATAATGTTTTTCCTTCTAAGTTTTAGTCATTTATCGTTAAGTATTAAAATTCAAATTTGGAATTTGATCAAATGCTAAATTCTGAATTTTTAATCTGAATATTTGATTGGTAAGTACTAAAATTTAGATTGAATATTGAATCAAATTGATGTATCAATGCAACGAACTGAAGCCCTAAACATTATAAAACTCAATATTCCAAATTCAAGTTTAGAGTTTTGAAACTTTTGCTAAATATGGTTTTATTTCCTAATAAAAAGAAAATTTCACATTGTTGATGTAGTGGATAAAATAGATTATAATCTCAAAGATCACATTATATTTCAAATCTAAGTAAACAACAAAAATAGTAATTTTTTTATTTAATGTCTAGACAAAAGAATTGTAATTGAAAACTCCCCATAAGCCGACGACATGTCATGTTTTATATCGGTTTTAATTGTAATTTTAAATTTGACAAGAACAAGACGAATGTGAAGTTAAAAATATTATCTGATGTATGCATTTTGAACTTGTAAATATAAGCGAACATAACAATATTCACAAAAATTTAATAAGGTATAAATGTGAATAGAATAATAATCTGTAAGTTGCCTCACTGATAGCTACATTGAAAATTACAAAATGAAGGCATCTAATTAAAGCCAAAGGTATAAAATAAATAACACATGATTTAAATCTGATGGAAAAGACGGTGTTCAATGTTTCTTGACATCAAGAATAATCGATCATCTTTAGGATTAATATACATTTTTTACACGTTTTTTAAATAACTAAGTGTTTCCATGAAGATTATTGAAAGTAACATATCGGGGAAAAAATCATAGAAGGAAATCTTCAAACTTAATAAAGTTGAAACAAAATACAATAGAAATGATATAAATCGAATCACATCCACACGGGTAGAGAGTCTGCCTGAGTCATGCGACCACAGGTGACACCTATTGTAGTGTAGCACCTGGGTTCGGCTATCTCTTTGCCGAGTTTGGCTTCTGATCTCTATCTGAGTCTCTGGTTCATTTGTCAATAGTTATTGCAAAAGACTTCCAAATATTCTTAAAGAATTTTTAATAACAAGGGGCATAGTGTAGTTGTAAGTTTAGTAAATTGTGGCATGTGTGGATGGTATTGGTTCTAAGTTACAAAAAAGACTTTTCACATGAAAAAATAAATCTGTTTATATCTTATCTTTTTCAGATTCCATAATGGTGGGATTCTTATGCATTCGCTCATGTTAATATTTTTTAGCTTATAAAATTATTGTATTCTACCGTTATTGGGTGTACTCATCGGATAACACTAAGGTATCGAAAGTTGCTTTTCATGATTAAATTATAATTTTTTAAATGTGGAAGTTACAATTGTTTGAGGCAATTCATGATCTGTCATAAAATGTCGTGATTAATCAAAAATTATTTCAATCAATTGTAATTTATTTTTTGTAAAGACCCTTAAAAGTTGTAATTTTCATGATCTATCACAAAATATTATGATCAATCCTGTCATTTGAAATTATAACGTACACTCCAAAAAATTATAATTTGACCATAAAATATTATTACTTTTGGTATAATACTGCTTTTGATAATGTAGTCTTCCTCTTATTGTTTCATACTAACAATTAGTGCATCGGTATTGGGTAGTTCCAAAGTCTTCCAAGGGGATGATGCTATTAGGGTAAGATTACGGTATCGATTTAGCCTCAACCCTTGATTTTGTTTTAGATGATTAACAACTATTGGTTAAAAAATAATAAAATATATAAATTTTACATGTGTCAATACTCTATTATTAGGGCAAGGCTACGATACCTCTATAGTAACATGATGAGAAAATGAAGTTTGACCAGTATACCACTAAACCACCCTATTTTGTGGTACACAAAAATCAACTTTGTTAAAAAAGTAAAAAATAAAATAAATAATTGAAAAAGTTACCAAACCGAAACTATTTAGAACACCTTGTAATAAATAGTTCTGGAATGAGCTCACAAAAAATGGTTGTTTTTGAATTAAAAGGAACAAAAAAAAGAAAAAGAAAGAGGTATAGGCAATCTTATTGTGTAGTGTACTACTTGCGTGACCATTTTTGTCACTTAATAAGAAAGTGAAATTTTTTCACCTTTTTTTAATCTGGGCATTGGCTCTACATGAAAATTCGGAGTCAAAGCATATCGTCTATTGTATGTACCAAAATATCCTGATAGGTTGTGGGAAAAGAATGGTGTGGTCTATAAAGGGTGGGTTTAAGGAACCAACTTCTTCAACTAAGAAGGGAAAGCTTTAGTGTATCAAAAACACATCATGGCATTGGAAGACAATGGTTCTGATGACTACACACAGGACGGGACTGTGGATCTCAAAGGGAACCCTGTCCGCAGATCCAAACGAGGTGGATGGACTGCTTGTTCTTTTGTTGTTGGTACTCTCTCCCTCTCTCTCTCTCTCTCTCTTTGGGTGTGTTTGTCTGTCACTGTTTAATTGTTTGTGTATGTGTTGTGTCTGTGTGTTTTTGGTTTTGTGGGGGGGCGGGTGCACTTTGAGGGTACGGATCAGGCTTATAGGGGGTCACCCACTAGTGTAGAAGTTAGCTTTTCAGGCACTGGTACATATCCACAATGGCTCCATGAAATTGGAAGTTTGTGGTTTTTTGTTATTGGAGTTCAGTGGGTGTCCAGGAACACAGATGGCTTTTGTTTTGCAGAGATGCGTTTGTTGCATAGTGTGAATTAGCAGTTCTTTTCTCTCTCATTAAGCTTCTAGACATGTATAAGTTAGTGCAGGGAAGAACCTTTTGATGACAGTGATCTATATAACTTATTGTAATTAGTTTTAGGAAAAGTTTAGGTGGTGAATTTAGAGCATGAAGAATGTGAGAAGCAGATAAAGAAGATCATAGGTCTCCTTCCAGAAATGAAAAGATCAGGAATGAGAAACTGTAGTGTTGGATTCGTATTCAACGATATTTAGTTTCACTTTTCCAAGATATTTTTGGTGTCTTAACTCTTTTTGGTTGGGTGAGAACAATCAATGGGCCCATAGGTCAAAACTATTACATGGTGCTCACATATACTCTCTCTCTCACAACAAATACAAACACAGTACACACTATGTGTAGGCCTACCACCTTTAGAACAACCTTTGAACTTGCGGTGAATAAATAAGTCGCTTATGAGCTGAACAATTTTTAACTACATAAAACTTTGTTAAACAAAACACGAACCGAATATGACATGTGTGATTACCAACCAACTATTATGAAGAACTAGAGTGATATGACACAAGGAACCCTATTTTTTCATTCTTTTTTGGTGGTCCATATTTATCCGTCCTATCACATATTTCTAGCTGCACATTATGTCACCTAAAATAATTACCCTCGTAATATGTTTTTTGTCTCCGAACCCAATTTTTACAAATGAACCAAGGCTTCAAGTTATAGATTTGAATTGATTTCAATATATTTTTTTTTTGATATTTTGCAGTAATCACCATAAATTCATTTGAACCCACTTTATAGAACTTTCCTATCATTAACAAAATACGTTGATTTACTATTGAAGAAAATTGGACGAGAGAAGATTCGGGCCCCCAAATTTTGAAACCCCCCCCCTCCCAATCCCACCCCAGCTTCAAAGTGGCTGTACTGGTAGACCTTCCAATGCATCTTAATGTTACAACCACGCTCCAACTAACTTGCAACTATTACCCATGTAGATTGATTTAGGAGGATCTATATATGTCATGCATATATTATACTTCTTGTAATTTCCGAAACAATTGATGCAATTGGTCCAACAGATTGATTGTGTGGCAAATCGTTTTGATTTGAACATTCATTTTGTTGATTTTTGGTGCAGTATATGAGGTTTTTGAACGGATGGCTTTTCATGGCATATCATCAAATTTGGTGCTTTATCTCACCAAGAAGCTCCACCAGGGCACAGTCACGTCAGCCAATAATGTCACCAACTGGGTTGGGACTGTTTGGATGACTCCAATCTTGGGTGCATACGTAGCAGACGCCCATTTAGGACGGTATTGGACCTTTGTCATCGCCTCCGCAATCTATTTTGTGGTATGTATAATTATATACACTCTATTATTTATATACATATACATATGTACATATGTGTGTGTGTGTGTGATAGTGTTTCATTATGTTCGGTAGAGCTAGACTGGTAACTTAGCCAGCAAAGTCATGCTTAAATCTACCAACCAATTGGAGCTGGTGGGTTTTTGTCTGGACGACTCCTTGCTCAAAACAAGTTTTTAATGAAAATAACAGTGGTAAAACTATAATATTTTCGTAATTAAGTTTCCAAACTAAAATAGAGTAAGAATTAACTCATATATCTTCACATACAATCTTAACATGACAAATTTTGTTGTTACTCGTATAAAGTATCAATTTTGTCATATTTTATTTTCTATTTGTCACAACAAATGAGGGTAAAAATGGAATTTCACAATGTCAACTGATGTGATTTTCCTTTTCTCATTTGGGCAGAATTTTTTTTTTGTCTGCAACCAATATTGACTGAATATAGTAAAAAGAGATAAGACTGAATATAGTATATGCTTGAATTACACACACACACACAATATATATATATATATATATATACTAAAAATTACCATTTATTTTGTTGGGATTTTGGCTTTAGTTAGATGAGATTATGACTCAATGGGATCGTTTCTGATCGATCCAAAAAATAGGACCCATCCTAAATTTTTACCATGTACACACACTATCACAGAGTTTGTAACTTAATAGGTTGTCTGATTTACAAAAGTTACTACCCATAACTACCTATTCTATTGATAATACATTTAGAAGTAATTTTTCATATTTTTTATTTTTAAGCACTTTTTCTAAAAATTGTTTGTTATACATTTCTCGGCCTTTTGGCTAAGATCAAGTATGTCATTACATTTTTTTTGCTTAAAAAATTACTAATGTAAATCAATCCATCCTATATTCACATTGAGTTTCTTTTGATATGATGACAGGGAATGTCAGTTCTAACACTATCAGTTTCAATCCCTGGACTAAAGCCCCCTCACTGTGTGGATCCAAATGTAGAGAATTGCAAGAAGGCATCCACAATACAATTAGCTGTGTTTTATGGTGCCCTCTACACACTGGCTGTGGGTACGGGCGGGACGAAGCCAAACATCTCGACCATCGGAGCCGACCAATTCGACGATTTCGAACTGAAGGAGAAAGTTCACAAGTTCTCCTTCTTCAACTGGTGGGTGTTCAGCATCTTCTTTGGGACACTCTTTGCCAACACAATTCTTGTCTACATACAAGACAATGTGGGCTGGACCCTGGGTTACGGGCTTCCCACTGTGGGCCTTGCAATATCAATACTGATCTTCTTGGCGGGCACGCCATTTTATCGACACAAGGTGCCCACTGGGAGTCCCTTCACAAGGATGGCTAGGGTTCTAGTGGCTGCCGTAAGGAAGTGGAGGCTACCCCTTCCTGCTGACCCTAAAGAACTCTATGAGCTTGATTTTGAAGAATACACCAAGAAGGGAAAGTTTAGGATTGACTCCACACCCACCTTAAGGTTAGTATTGAGCTCTTTAATTTTTCTTGTCATTTTGGTTTAAGCCCAGCAGCAAGCAAGTGGGTGCTCAGTTAAGCCCAAATTCCTTGGTTGGCCCATTAGAAGGATCTAATCCGACATAGTTCATGAGGCTGCTATGGACTTTGTTTCGGCCTAGCTTTCCAGGCTTGTCAATGGATCTCATTCTGATCCAACAACTATAAATGAATTTTGTTTTTACAATTCATATCTTAACCATAAAAAATTAGCATTTAATCCTATCCAAATAACATACCCAATGATATCAGATATTGGTGTATGCAACTGTGTTGTTAAATTTGATATAAGGGATTTAGATTTATATAATTGGTTAAAAGTATTAATCTATATTATTCGATCAATTGGATTCGGATTCAGATTGAATCTGATCCATCAATAGGGCTTTGGGCTTTCTAGACACATTTTGCAACCTAGGTTTGGAATACTTCCACCAGATAATGTTCTAATGCACACATTATTACAGGTTCCTCAACAAAGCTTGTGTTAAAACAGGATCAACCAATCCATGGATGTTGTGTTCAGTAACTCAAGTCGAAGAAACCAAGCAAATGTTGCGAATGATACCAATCTGGGTGGCCACATTTGTTCCGAGCACAATGATTGCTCAAGTTAGTACCCTTTTTGTCAAGCAAGGGACCCTTCTCAACCGAAACATCGGTAGCTTCAAAATTCCTCCGGCAAGTTTATCCGCGTTTGTAACGATCTCCATGCTCGTCTGCATCGTGTCATATGACCGAGTCTTTGTTCCAATCATGAGGAAATTGACCAAGAACCCTAGAGGCATCACTCTCCTCCAAAGAATGGGAGTTGGTATTGTCCTCCACATTACTATCATGACAGTTGCTTCATTAACGGAGATGCATAGGCTTAATGTGGCCAAGGACCATGGTGTAGTCGAAAATGGAAAGCCGGTACCTCTATCAATTTTCATTTTACTTCCTCAATTTGTGCTTATGGGCAGTGCGGACGCATTTCTAGAGGTCGCGAAGATTGAGTTTTTTTATGATCAAGCACCCGAGAACATGAAGAGTCTCGGAACTTCTTATGCCATGACTAGTCTTGGAATTGGGAGTTTTATTAGCAGTTTCGTTCTTTCAACAGTTTCCCGTGTCACCAAGAGGCATGGCCACCATGGATGGATTTTGAACAACCTCAATGCTTCTCATCTCGACTACTATTATGCATTTTTCGCGATACTCAACTTCTTGAATTTGATTTTCTTCATAGTAATGGCCAAGTTCTATGTGTATAAGGCCGAAGTCTCGGATTCAATGGTGATACTTAGAGAATCACTGGGAGGAACAACAAATAGAATAGTTGACCAAGAAGCAATAAGAACGGAGGTTGAAATGACAAGTTAATTAGCAAGAACATAACGTTATGCAAAATTGAAGGGATAGATTTCAACTTTGCAGACAATGTATTTTTTTTTTTCCATGTATTTCACTTAGAAAGAATTGTATTGTTTGCACATTACAATCGATCATTAGAATATAGAATGTAACATAGTTGTGTAAAAACTTTGGACTGGCTTTGCATATAGTTAGCAGAGATCTTGAGATGATCTTTTCATCTGGATAACTTATTTCCTCCAGAACGTTGAAGGAAACACATCAAAATTTTTAAGTCTCAGAAATCTCAAGACCGTGTAATATTATGAAAAATTAACGAGAAGGAAAAGAAGTCAAATATATGAATAACGTGATATTGAAATTTATATATAAAAAAAAAAACCAACACAAACACACACACAATATATTTATATATAAATATATATCTATATATATTTTGAGTAATATGTGACTAAAGATATGATAAAAAATAGAGATTAAATAACGTGATATTGAAATGATAAGTAGTATTTAAGTTCAAGTGATGTGGTAATATAATAATAATGATGTCTTTCAGTAAAGTAATAATGATATTTTTGATTTTATTAATTTTTACAGATTATCCAATGTTTGTCATCGTATCACATTATTTAATATTTAAAATTTAGTATTTGTTACTCTCAACATTATTCTTTCTTAACTTAAATTTAAGTTTTATTTATCATGTTGGCTGTCATATTATTTTGACTTTATTTCTTGTTCTTTTTTTTTAGTGGGCTTAATATTATTATTAAATTTTAAATATATAAACGTAAATAAATAATATCATTATGTCAAGCCCACATTGTTTGGTCTCATTTTTTTGTTTTTGATATCGCAACTATCATAGTTACTTCTATATTTTTTTGCTTACGTACCGGTTAAACATTGAATCTTGTGTAAAGTCGCCTCTTCACACAAGAAGGTAAATTCATTAGCGATGGCCCCAAAAAACTACATTACATGGAATATTCAAATCTTTTATTTATTTCTCAAGAAAAATTTATCAAAATCATTGAGATTATTTTTTGGAGTCATTTTGTGGTCTCATGTTCGGGTCAATCTTGTTTTTTTTTTTGGTAAGTGGGTCAATCTAGTGTTTTTCCTCTTTTGGTGTGCCAATCTTCTTTCAACAGTTGGAGTGTGTTTTGTCGGTTTGAGAGTGATGATGGAAAAGAATATTCAGCCCAGGAGAAGACTACTGCACCGAGAAAAATAGATATTTTCATATCTTTAAATTTTATAATTTTTAAAGCTCATTTTACAATAAAAAAATTATAATTTTTTAGGTCAAATTATAACTTTTTTTTGAGTCAAATTACATTTTTTTTGTAGCATTACAATCAATCTTTAACATTATTAGAATTGATCACAAGTACCATGAAAAATTATAAAATGATCCTCAAAATTGTAAAAACGCCCACAAAATTTATTATGGCAATATGGTACCAAATTTTTTTAAAAAAAAATAGAATTCTAGTTTTTCATTATTTTATTATCTATGATATCTCTTATTATAAGCTTCTATATTATTATCAAAAAGGGATTTAGATAACTTAGATAGACCTACGCGCACGCATACTTTTCTATCCTTCATTATTATTATAGTATATTGACATATATACTATACATGTCAATATTTGTATAAAAAATTAATTTACTATTTTTTCCTTCATTATTATTATAAAGTCAATAATACCCACATATTACTTTCATCTCATTTTTATTTCTTTAACTTATTTGACTTCTAAATTATGTTGGACTATTTTATTAATAGTATTTAATTCTAAATTCTTTTACACTCATTTATTAGTAGTACACTTGTATATATATTTTCTATATCTATGTTTATATTTATATGAAGAATAAAGTTTTATTTATATTCTATTACTATATATATATATATATATATGTAGTTGTCAAATTAGATTTTACGATTAAATATATAACATGTTTGATTTTTTGGTAGTCAACAGTATCATGTTATTATAATACAAATAATAGTATTTCAATTTAATCAATCGATTTGACTAGAAATGTAATAAGTTTATGATATAATTAGATGTGCAAATACTCAATAATGATAATTGATTATGCACAAAATAGATTTATGCGCAATTAACAGTCGAGTGTATGATTCATGATAATTAATGAAATAATCAATAAAACAATTAATGAAAGAGACAAATATTGGATCAACACAAGCAACACACAAATTTATAGTAGATCGGTCAGACTGACCTACTCCACTTTGAAGCGCCGATAATCTTTATTGATGAAGTAGTAGGTGAGAGAGAGAGAGAACAAGAGTATGCTCTTGGTAGTTATGAGAGAGATAAATGTATAAAGTGTGTAGAGAGATGTCCTTCGTATATACAGTGGACTTACAAATTTATAGGCATAGAGTCTTTGTTGAAACGATGATGTGATGGGTAAATTACTAGATTATAAGAGAAGATAACTATTAGTTACAATTAGGATATGTACAATTAGATATAGTTTTAATTCTGGAGAGTGACTGTCTCGATAATTACTCCTCACGTGTGCTAATCTTTCTGGACTCCTTGAACCTTGGAATGAGCCAAATTCATGAGCTGGACTTGACTGGTTTTGTAGCTAATTTAGGCTTACTGCATGAATTGGGCTTGACCCAACTAGATTTGGGTTCATGAATAATCCTGCAATGAAATTTCATTGGAAAAAAAATGAAAACTTGTCTAATGAGTTAGGAGAGATATCTAAATAAATAAAACAGATACTCAAAGAGGAGTAAAATAGATAAATAATTAGGTTTAACAATAGTTAAAATAAGGTTTAACAATAGTTAAAATATGAATTATTATTTCACACATAATTTATGATTCAATTTACTGTAAATAAAATGATTCACTGTAACAAAAATCTATTTTAGAATATTTAAAATGCATCTATTGGAATATGATTTTTTACTTTGATTAACTAAATTTTAACTATTTTTGTGCTTTACAGCATCTCTTTGGAGATGTTCTAAGAAAAGCATTACTTCTTGTGCCCATAATATCGACCTCCACCGTCTAATCCCCTTGTGATCTTCCCATTATTGACAATAAACTTCGTATTCTACAGATTGTGTTTTAAGTATAGAGCATAAAGCATTTTGAATGACTTATTTCTTAGACGCTAAACACTGAAAAATTGCCAACACAATCACTTAGAGGACCAAAGTTTATTTTATTACACGATTAGATTTGAATGCAATTCATGCACACCATTTTTCTTCATTTTTAGAATTAATAATTATACTTTATATACGCTTGAAGTTTATGTAATATTCTCAATGTAGTCCTTTTTTTATTTTATTTTACG